GACTCAATTCTTCACATAACAGAGTAGCCCTCGCCCTAACCGTTACCAATTAACCCCTTACAACCATTCACTCCAACTTTTATACCGCATTCGACCTTGGGATCACAATACATAAACACACCGGGGTTAACAATACTGGAGGTTAAACTCAACTCACACACGCACTCTCCCCTAATTCTAGATTATTCTAACCTATTTCTATCTAACCTACAACTGACCCGTAACAGCAGTGGGCTCATTCCGTATAAATCCCTCACAGACGTCTTGTAGAAAGCGTATGACCATGTCCAATGCACGCTTGCCACCACGAAAATCAAATTGGTAAGGACTCAGCAGGTTTGAGGACTCCAAGTAGGTAAGACGGGCAGAGACCATTCTCTCCGTAAACTTACCAAGCCAGCTTGAGAGTGAAATAGGACGATAAGAGGTGACGTCAGATTAATCTTTCCTTCTTGTGGATAAGAGTTAAGTAAGCACGAAGCCACTCCTTGGTCAACATGGAGTCATAAAGAGTTGTGTTAAAGAAAACAAGGAATGCTCTCGGCGCACGAAACACCCTCGTCTCCGGCAGCACAATGGGAAGACAACTTGGAGACGGCTATCTCAAGTTCACCCAACTGGAACGATGAAGAAAAAAAAATCTGGGCATCAGGCAGAGATGTCTTATCACAACCCGCTCGGCATGAAGCAATTGATGGATAGCAATGGTCTCTGTTTTTTCCATATGTTGCATAATGTCGGTTCAATGCCTCAGACCCTGCTGACATTGGAATATAACAGTCCCTTCTTGGTATTTAAGGGGGCATTAAGAGTAGAAATGCGAGTTTCATCATGTGCAGTCTTAAATAAATGAAAAATACGTTCTGATGACACATTGGAATTAAGGGCAGCAGTCCTTTCACGCCAAGTTGCTCGCTGTAAAGACCGAATGGTCTTGGTAATAAGTCGACGGCAATCACGGTAAGCTAAGAGTCGAGTCATGGAAATACATCGGGCCACACGCCTCCGTGACCGATTGCGTTGGGCTTTCACTCTGGATAATTAGGCCGACCACAACCCCCCCCCCCCCCCCCCCCAGGCCGTCCACACGGCACTCGAGGAATCGCTGCACGGGCGGCTGACATAACTGGGCGAATACATGATTGGTACGCCTGGTCCACTGTCCCTAAACGAGCGTTAAATCTGGTAATACCTTTCTCCAGATGAGAGGTGAAACGCTCCCAATCAGCATGACGATAAACGAAACGAGCATGTGCTTTGGCTTCCCGTCGAAAATTCAATGTCAAACTAGTCACTAAGGGCAAGTGATCCGATCCAATATCATCAAGCACAGAAGTATGTGCAACTCGAAATAAGCGTGGAGTCATAATCGTCAAATCAGGCCGCGAGTTAGCGCCACTGCCTTTGCGAATAAAAGTTGGAGGGGTTGAAGGGGACTGCATGACCCGTAACCCGTGCTTATCGAGAAAAGACTCAATAGCCTGTCCAACGCGGTCTCGCTTGGGGTAACCCAAACGAGGGCTGCGAGCTGCGAAAAGTACGTTTGTCCCCGAGAATCGAGTTAAATATTACACAGGGCCACATATCCTAACATTTGTCGGTCCAAGCACTATATAGAAACCATAACCACTGAGGGTTGACCTCTCAGGGGTCGAGCCATCGGTATAGATGCACAACGAGTCTGGAAGGGAAGAGCCCCAAAGTCTTTGGAATGAAGCTAACTAGTCCCCTGGCGTACGGGGAGAATCAGGTAAGGTAAAACGGCAGGTATATCAGGTAAAATGTAGGGTGGATAGGCAGCATGCTGTCTAATAGGCTAGCGAGAGAAAGACAATGGTGAAGGTAGGAATGAAATTAAATATTCCGCCTGCTCCCCCAAAGTCCTTCGAAACAATCCCCCAAGGAGGTGCTCCTTGCTCCGCCACCGGTCAACCATCTGCCGTATGGGGTCGGTGAGCAGAAGGCGGCGAAACAGTTCATAGCTACAGATCAAAGCGTGACGTAGGTCCCAAGGTTCAATAACATTATAAATCGAAAATATCTGCCATCTTACCTTGATACGATGTCCCAAGATATTGGTTGACGAAAGGTCTGCTACCGGTATCTCGTCCAAACTAATACCGCTGCGGATTGATGTGGTAACTCCGCGACAACTGCGACCCAATCCAGAGTCAGAACAACGTCAAATGTGTGGTGATAATAACCAGGCAAGAGAAAGTAATCGGCGCAATCCAGTCTGAGTCTAGTCTCCTGAATTTACTCCTGAAGAAATGCTTTGTCGATATCATTCTCAACCAAGATGCGTTGAAGTTCCAAAACACGATCACGAAGTCCAAGAATGATACGAAGAACGGGCACAGAAGACTACACTATCCCGTGTCATAGTCAAAAGAGAATAAAATTTAAAGAAACGGCGACCTTAAGTGGGGCAAAACTGAACACAGCTCACTCATAGACGGTAGTGAGCGAAAATCATCAGTGTCAATAAAAGGGAAAGCACGCTGGAAAAGGAATGAAAGCTGGATAACAAGGTTAACTCCCCGAATAAGCCAAGGGTAATAACCGGGAAAACAGAGACGGCAGAAGGAACACGAGTTACATACCTGAAAAGCGTATCACGGAGACGGAGGATAATGAGGAAATGATGCTAGGAAAAGAGAGACCGACCAGAGCAATAAGCACGGGTAAAAGGAAAGAAAAGATAGTTACTTGGTTAACTATATCAATCGGCAAATTTCATAGTAAGAAGCCCGACCTAAGCTATACGGGACAAAGAAAAGACATTTCCCTATTTCTCCTGTAAAAAATGAAAAAAAAAGTTATGATTGATAGTGCCACTACAAGCAGGGGCGTAGCGAGGGGGGGGGGCGGGGGTGCGGACCGCACCGGGTGACACCATTTAGGGGGGTGACACCAAGGCAAAAAATAGAAAAATATATAGAAAAAAACTCGAGGGGGGGGGGGGTGCAAATCGAAAGTTTGAGGGGGGGGGGGTGCAAATCGAAAACTCGAGGGGGGGGGGGGTGCAAATCGAAAGTTTGAGGGGGGGGTGCAAATCGAAAATTTGAAAGTTTGTCCCTGGGAAGGGTCTCTATGCCTCTGGGGGGGGGGGGGGGGTGACACCATTAAGTGCCGCACCGGGTGACACCCGACCTCGCTACGCCACTGACTACAAGTATGCAGAGTTTCTTCCAGGCATCTCTTCGGTGTGCGTCACCCAATCGAGAACTACCAAGAAGAGAAGGGGCGACAACAGACATCCTTGTCTAACATCTGTGTTGAACAGAAACTCTTCAGACAGTTTCCCAGCATGGCTAACTTGGCATGCAAATCCACTGTAAAGTTGCTGAATTATTTCCACTAACAGCAGGTACACCATAGTGTCTCAACAGATTCCATATTGTTTGCCTATCCACACTATCAAAAGCCATCTCAGTCAACAAAGCAGATGTAAAGCGGGGCCTGCAATTCTATTGTCTGTTCTACAATAATCCTAAGAGTGGCTATTTGATCTGTACAAAATCTTTCCATCCTAAACCCTGTTTGTTCCTCTCTTAGCTTAAGGTCAATTGCTTCTTTCATTCTGTCCAAAATGACTCTAGTAAGGACTTTACTTGGGATGGACAACAAGGTAATACCCCTCCATTTTCCACACTGAGATAAATCACCGTTCTTTGGCAACTTCACAAGGAGGCCCCTTTTCCAATCGGTTGGGACCTGTCCTGTGTTCCAGACTAAGTTAAGTAATTTATGAAGTCGATTTACTACTTCTAACACTTATTTTGGAGACAAACAATTGATGTAGAAAACAGTAAAGTAAGTCCATAAAGCCAAGTGGCAGTTTTTTTCTAAACCTCGAGTTTACTACTACAGCCCAGAATAAGCTTATCATTTTTTTCAAACCTGTTTGACGCCCACCCAAGGTTTGGGGGCGTCCGCCCCACTCGCCTCCCATAGCTACGCCAATGACCACACTATCTCCTCATAAAGTTCATATGCCATAGTCATAAAACTGAAGAACTACTACTTCTTTATCCGTACAAAATACCATCAGTTCCAAAAGAGTAACTTACTTAAATTAAGTTTACAGTTCTTAAACTACTTTGGATTAGGGCCGGGCTTGGTACTCACACCATTGATATGTCCAGATAATTATTCATAATTCTATTAGTAGACAAAGGAAAACAACCCACGATATTAGATATGATTCAAAACTATAATTAATTTAATATATCATATTTAAGCTTTAAACAGAAACACACATTTTTATTGTTATAATAATACATTATTTTTTTTTAAGTAAAAGCTATGATAAACAGATATATATATATATATATATATATATATATATATATATATATATATATATATATATAGCTTATATGTTTAAAATTGTTTAAAATATAAATAAACAGTGCTAGCAATTATGCACAAATATGCTCAACATATCACTGATCAAATTGAATGTCTGTTATTATTTAATTTCTAATTTAACACAAGTAATTAGAGTTTATATCAGGCATCAATGCAACCCCTCCCAAACTAGAGCACATCTAACACAAACCCCCCTACACCAGTACAAAATAGAAAAATATTAAATTAAATAGAAAATGTCTGGACTACTTAAGACAATATAGTTCTATCACCAGTGGAGAAGCATATGCTGAAATAAGTAGCAAGAGAATACTAAGTCCAATTCAGTTCACACCCAAGAAACATGCTAGGCAATAAAAAATTCTCCCTTTTTAATTTTAATGTTGGAAGGGATTCCCTCCTACACAATTTCGTGTTAATGTTATGCGCCATGTAGGCCGTTAACTCCGATTTCAGCCCACTTTTCTTTTTGGATTTGTCCAACCAGGAACAAACTACAAGACAACTGTAGTTTGATTTTGGAGTTGCCTCTCCTAGAAAAGTTGCTGTCCCTAGCTGTCGAGCCTCATCTGCCCGAGGGTTCGAACTTTACGGTTTAGCAACCATGAGCTTTACCATTCCTTTACCAAAAAAAACAAAAAAACAACAACAAAAAACAGTACAATATCTTTTTAATGAAGACTGAATCTAGTCACTATCACTAGATTCACTGGATTCTTTCTTAGAGTAGTCAATAATATAAGCTGGATAACACTGACTGTTGTCAAACACACAAAATCTGACTGGCCTGTCCAGATTGTCAACAGTTGTGTCGTAAAACCTTCCAGAACTGTCTTTTGGTGGACGGGTCATTCCAGATGACCCTACAGTAGAATATCCACACAAGACTCTAGCTATAATCATTTGTTCACATCCTTCTGTATACAGGTTAGATTGTTTGGACCATGGACTAAAATATATTCCTGAAAAATTTAAAAAATTAGTGAAAATTCACATTTAAAGGTCGGATTATATAACATACTACTTTATTTTTGCTTAACAATTGTTCTTAATGTTTTTAAAGTTACACAAGTTTTGTTGGTGTAGTTTCTAAAAATACCAATGCATATTGTGTATGGGCTGGTCTGTGGTATATTACTAGGCTGATAACCCAAAATCCAGTGTCCAACTCAGTAGAACATCCCTGAGTCAACCCAGCTCTGATGGGTACCTAACTCATGTTAAGGAAAGTAAAGGCGGCTGGGCAAAGTGCTGACCACACATTCCCTTCATATGCCAAGGTCAAGAAACATATGAACTCTACTTTGTCATCTGCCCAATGAATCACTAGGTCTAAAGAGGATTCTTTACATTTTTTTTTAACGCCTACTCATAATGTAATTATTAGCTTTATTAATCTTTATTAAAGCTTTATTCTGTTTTATTTTAAACGGAATATAACAGCTTTTTTGTGCATAACCAGAGCCCAACTGTGCAGACTGTTATAAAAAATATTTTAAAAAATATTACTAACAGACCAATATGCCTTCTAATCAGGTAGTATTAGGCCTAAACATATCCAATTCTTAGCTCTGGGATGAATCATAGACACTTTTCAGAATTGCATATTTAAAAAGAGTAAAAAAAATACCTTTCCCATAATGAGCTGCATTGGCTGTTGGGACTCTTAAGTCAAAACCTTCTTGACAAATCAAATCAATATTTTCTTTTTTGGTCCCATGGAAGAGTGCTCGTTCTTTGATCTTGTCAAGCCCTATCTCCTCCACCATGTGTTTCCTCTTCCTGTTTGAAAAGTTATAACTCTTTAATATCAACTGTAATTTTTATTATTGAGGGATATGGGAGAGTGGGGATGAGAAAATAAGACAGTAAATGTATTTTATACAAATAATATAGAATAGATGTTACTGATGAACGCCTGTAAATGTTACAAACTACAAGCCAGTTTAAAAAAAAATTAAATTAAATATATTATTATTATATATTATATTCAGTTTTTTAATTGTCATATTAATAATGCTGAATGGGGGAGCAAAAACATAGGTATTTATTTTATCAAATAAAAAATGTAAATAAATGATAATAATTTTTCAGTGACGTCAGCTTTAAAACTAACATTTAAACTTTAATTAAAAGTGCAATATTTTTATTAGAAAGCCAGTCTATCAAAACAGTTTTCAACAATTAGTATTTATTATCATAAAGTTGCTGCTACTACTCACAGATAATATTTTTCCCACAATTGTGGGTTTTGTATTCGCATGATTGACTTGAGATCTACTGAGTGATCAGAGAAGGTCCTATAAAACATATTTCTAACTGCTTGCCTCTCTGTGCTGAGCTCAACACTGCACAGCAAGTCAAATGACTGTCAAAAAAAAATTCTAATGATTATTATTGCAACAATAAAATTTGTTAAAAAAAATAAAACAAAAACAACAAGGAAAAACGGGAAACAAATCAATTATGTAGACAGTATGCTGATTAATATACATAAAAATGTTATTAAAAGTAAAAGGCTATCAATATAAAAAGTATGACTAATTTAAACATTAAATAAATGTCTGTAATATTTACGACAGTGCTAGGTAATCCAAACACAACCATTTTGGCGTGCATCAGAGGCGTAGCGACCCTTCCCGGCGCCCGGGGACAAACTTTTCCGTTTTTAGCCCCCCTCAAGATTTCGATTTGCACCCCCCCCCCCCCTCAAGATTTTGATTTGCACCCCCCTCAAACTTTCAATTTTTTACTTAATTTTGGTGTGAAAAATGAGTGAGTAAATAACTGAAAGGAAACATTTGACTGAGTAGCTGAGATGCAGATGGATCAGTGACATACTAGCCAGTATATTTGGGCAAATGGTCACCACTTTTGCTCAAGTCAACAAAAGTTTTAAGAATTTCTGACCAATGGGATAAATTCTCTTGGAGCCCAGAGGAATCCTCCAGTTTGATGCTGACCCACTTCATCCAATACATAGGGAAGACTTCATGCTTCTTTATCTTACTTTAAAGTTCCTTGTTATAATTTAAATAATTTTGGGGTCCAATTATTGAAAAAAAAACTTATGTAATATAATTGTTTCATTTCCTTGGAATACTATCTGAATAAGTGGCTAGGTAGATTGACAGATGGTCCAATATACTGGATTCAGCTGCATTTTTTAATGCTTACATAATATAAAATGATCAATATGAAAAAATTAAAATATTCACAAACCTCTACATTTTTTACTGCAGTAGCACTGGACTTCTCCCAGTTTGCAGGGAATATTTTAGGATCAGTGAAGCATTTACTGCCAACATGGTGTAGAACCTTACACTCAACATGGTTGTCTGGTAATTCAACTGGCCGGTGACAAATACGGCATGCTTCATGCTGTCGAAAGGTTTTAGTTACAAATAAATTTTTATTAATTAATCATTACAATTTTTAATTGACAATAATCTACTAAGTAAATTTAACTACCCTTTCATATCTGACAGACAATGGAGCAGGTAAAGTAGAGTTCATGTTTCTGTGACCTCAGCCAACATTACTTTAAAGTTACAGCATGATCAATGACAATCAGGCACATGAAATACGGTTTACCTGTTTTTTGTGACTTTGGCATATAAAGGAATAGTGTAGACTATGCCAAGCCACCTTTATTTTTCTATAAAAATTGAGAAATTACCTGTCAGATGTGGGTGAACACAGACATTTTATAGACTCAAGCCCATGCAGAGTTTCTTCCCCCCCCCCCCCCCCCCGATAAAAGTCTGACCTGAATTTTCCTTTAATCACATTCATATTTCTGCTCCTAATTAGGTATCATTTTTCAGCTAAATATCAACTCAATTCTTTGATGGGTATTTAAGAGGAAATAAACCCTGTAAACGTGTAATCTTTCTTTTTTAATCATTCAAAGTTTAAATTATTTAACACGGAATTCATTTTTCTAAATTCATTTTTCTAAACTCAGGTAAAAAATATTACCCTGCATGCTGTGCACTTGTAAAAAATATCACTTTTGGATAGTGTAATGTCTATCTTACACTGTAAACAACTGAAATAGATAAATAAAATAACCATAACCATAATCTTGAAAAGATTATTTATTTGTGATAACTATTTAGTCTAGTTATTAGCACTTAAGGGGTGAGGAGACTACAGAATTCAGTAACAGTTAAATTCTGCTAAATTTTTAACAAGTGTGTATCTAAATTATTATACTAAGTTGTTAAATAAATTACAAAATTTGAGGTGAAAATGAGTTATAGAACCTGGATAAGGGAAACTAACTCTTGTAATAAAAGAACTAAACTTACAAGATGAAGACATCTCATAGTTAGAATTTAAAAAAGGAGAACAACTCATGAAAAACGTGTAAAAATAGCATAACTTATTGAATTTATCTTAAATTATTTTAAAACTTTTGATTAAAGTGCATTGAATTTTTTCTTTTGATTTTGCTAGTTTATTAAGAACAAGTACAAAGTATATTGTGGATACAACTGATTTAATTATAACTTATAAAAAAAAGATAAATAACTGATTTTTAAAGAAAAATTTATATGTTCTTGATCTTCTTGTTCATTACAAAATGGTTTACAAATTTAGAAATATTGAGACCCAAATATTATGGTACTTTTTCTCCCCCACTGTATATATTAAAGACTTACAAAATCTTGTCTAAGTAGCTTTCTTTTATGTGTGCTTCTACTTTAGCCAATCGTTTCGAAACCTTCTTTTTCAGCTGCTCATATATTATTGGATCCAAACTAGTTGTCACTTTATCTACAAACATAAACACATAATATTTGCAAGTTGTAATTATTGCATTAATGTGAAACATGCTGATTGAAAAATAATTCATAAATCTTACTCATTTAGAATAATACAAACCTAAAGTCACAATAGAATTACATGGCGCATTAGGGCACATCAAGTTTATCTGAAAATGAATAGTAAAAGATCTTTACAAACAGTAAATGTAGTAAATGACGATTGTTCCTTAAAATAAAATTGTCTCTAATAATTAGAGGAAATTTTTTTTTATTATTATTACGTTTTTGGAATCCACGAAGTTATCAATAGTAATTTTAAAACAGCCCATGCATGTTTTATGGTTGCTCTCACAAATACTAAATTCCCTTTGAGGGAATGTATTTGAACATTTTTCACATTGGATAACAGTCCTGTCCACTGTGAATAGATTATTTATTGTTATCATCAAAATCAATAAATTAAAAGGTAACCATAACTCTATTTTTTTCTTAATTAATAAAGTTGTTTTAAAGTAATTAAAATTTAAAAGAAAAAGTGGTTGATATTTTTTAAAACATTTGTACAGATTTTAAAAAATTGAAAACACTTTTTACCACATCAGTAATGAAATTCAATAAGCTGTGATAACTCTGGGCTTAGCATAAAAGAAATTTTATAAGTCATAATATTATAATATATGATGAAATATATGCAGAGACATTACTTTTCATGACGCTTTTAACAAAATCATTTTAAAAGTAAAACTAATATTAACAATGACCACCTGCTTAAGTAAAATTGAAAAAAAAATTATTCAGAAAATTACAATCATCTAGTAAATCTATAAATAGAAAAAAAATTTATTTTAAAAATATTTCTACTAAAATGTTGCACATATTCAAGCTTACTTATTTCAGCTGAAGTACTAGCTCCATAATTGACAGTGTTGGCAAAAGTGTGTGCTGAATTTGTTTCAACACTGTTTACATTATCCACTTCCATTTCCACATATCTGGCAGCTCCTATAGAATCTAATAGATATGCAAAAGGCAAGTAAAAAAAAAACAAAAAAAAAAACAATAAGTTTTAATTATTGAGATTAAAATATCATCTAAGTGATTTAAAAGCTCTTCATCAAACTGACTATTTCTATAAGTATACATATATTATATTAATATAAGAATCAATCTTCCTCCCTGTGAATAAATATTATATAAATAAACTATCGGAAAATCTTCCAGCTGAATGCCTTCAACAAGCTGGGTACTTACAAGTGCTGGAACACTACACTCAAACCTCAAGCTTTTAGTAACTACAGTTACCCCAAACAAAATGGAATTCAAATAGTGTTGCCCCCCCCCCCCCCCAAATTTTCAAGAAACACTATTAGTAACCCAAATTGCAATAATGACTTTAAGCTAAAAAGCAATGCAAAATGAAAAATCCTTGGTTCCATTCAATCCTACCATTATTTTATCTAGAACCACTAGTACAACAGCGTTACAGCTGGTGGTCTGTTGAGTACTTATACACAACATTGGATGTATGTGTTGTAGATAATAGAAATTTGTTACTTACCTGGTACATGGACAACACTAGGTTCCTCAGTTTTCTTTGCTTTTATTTTGTTGAAAAATAAAAGCATAATTAAATATAAAGCCTTTATATAGCGCCTCATCCATACATATATATATATATATATATATATATATATATATCAATAAATAAAAATAAAGTTAGATTAGAAGGATTGTAAAGACACTCATCCATACATACATATATATATATATATATATATATATATATATATATATATATATATATATATATATATATATATATATATATATATATATATATATATATATATATATATATATATATATATATATATATATATATATATATATCAATAAATAAAAATAAAGATAGATTAGAAGGATTGTAAAAACACTCTGACACTTTTTGTATATCTTGTTATGAAGAAAGTATGAGTTTTATAACAGACTTGACTCATGTTACAGAATCACAGTGAGTGTTATTATTGCTTTAATATCTGTGGTATAATTTTACCATAAATTAAATAATATACTTACTTGTGATGACTTAGACAGTTTAATTTTTGCAATTTAAAGTTTTGAAAAATCTGTTTAAAAAAATATAATATAGTTTTTGTGTGTGTGAATTTTATACTTTTATAAATGTGTACTTAGTACTCACAGGCTTTGGGTTCTTTTAAAAATATACTCTTACCTTTTGCGGAATATAAGGCCATTATTATACCAACAGCTGAATCATCTGATGTCAAGAGCTCTGTAAACATCCTACCTGCAGCAGCCGCTGCTTCTGCTAGCATTGAAAAATCCAGTTGTGGAGACGTTTTCATTATTTTATTCATTGCTCTGTTTAATCTATACTCATCATTAGGTAATCTTTTCTCCATTTTTTTTATGTTTTGAGAAAACATGCAAACTGGCGTCTGAAAGAAATATTGTGCTTTGGTGAGTGGAACGAAAAATAAATAAACATATACATTGATGACAAGTAAAGTAATACTTTGAATAATTATGTCTAGCCCTTAATTTAATTACTCCTTTTTTTCTCTTCTTCATCTTGCGTAGGTAAAGGTAATATAGTACCTCTTTAAAAATGGCAAAAAATACAACAATCATTACGCCTATCCTTCAGCTTTAGAGAGCCCTGTGTTGAAGATAAGGCTAAACTAAAAATTAATAAATAAATGACAGGCTTAGAGACATGGTTAAAACCTGGTCATGATTATTGTTAGCGACTACAAACCACATTTGTAAATGAAAAATAATATTTGAATATAGATTTGTAAACAGTCTATATTGTACAATCTGTATATAATCTCCATTATGGATTTACTTTATATAAAATGATGTTAATATAAGCCTAAATATGTGTATATAGGCCTATATATATATATATATATATATATATATATATATATATATATATATATATATATATATATATATATATATATATATAATAAAATAATATAGGCTTATAAGCCTATAAGCCTAAAATAATATATATAAAAGATATACTAGTAACTTGAATTGTCCTTCCTTATCAGTAAAATAGCCTGATTAAAGTATTGGATAATTTGTTACTAACGTTTAATAGACATTTAGAACCTTACCAAATGCTTTAAATATAGTAGTATACTGTATACTACTAGTAGTGACATACCACTTATGGGTAACAAACTATTTTTAAAAAAAAACACCTGGACAATAACACTATAGTTTAAATCTAATTTAAAGATAATTTGCCAAAGAATGGCAAAGATAATTTGATAAATAGTTATTAAGTGTATCTACTTTTCAAAAGTGTACAGATTAGTATAGATCTATAATTTATTGTCAAACACTTTTAACTATTACTAATTTCACGAACATAAGCTCTCACATACTAGATCTATATGCTACCTGCTCTCGTTGGCCAAACTAAATATTAAATTAGGCTCTGTTATACCCAATTCCTACTAAACCAACTGCCTATTTCGTTTATTTTATTACTTTGCGTAGGCCTATCTTTTTTTTTTTTTTTTTTTTTTTTACCGCTTAAAATTAAAACTGGAAGCTGAATTGAATAACTTACTTGTTAATAGTTAAATATTTCTTTTATATGGATGTAGATTATCAAATTATTTTTTTAGACCTAAGAGATATATGATTAAGTTTAACATTTTTTAAATCCCATATTCGGCCACGTCGTTGATTTTAACCCTATATGGCATAGCGTTGCAGTTTTGCAACAATACTTTAGGAGTAATCAATTACTGTACTATTTAATATTTTGTTTTGTTTTCAACTTATTTTACTCCGGATAGCACTTTTTAATACATTTTATACCCGAACTCTTTTGAAAAGAAGATTTTCTTTTTAAAATCGGCCATTTTTAGAAGCGATCTACACTTTTCTGCTTTTTGCTAAAAGGTAAGTATAAAATTACGTTAAAACCTGGTTAAAATTATAATAAACTAGCTGAAAAAAATATATTTACAATAATAACTATGCATTAGTACTAATTTAGTTGATTCACAATAAAATTCTTATTATTTTATTAGTAAGAGCTAGGTTTTGTATTGTTGCAGTAATGCAACTACATGCAACGGAATAAATAAAAATGGCTGCTCTGAGCTAGACTTTAGTTTGCTTGGTAATTATTTCTATACACAAAATAGTTTATTTTATGATGTGAAATACATTTAGTGTTGTGGTATATTATTTATAACTACTAGATCTAGTTTTTGCCTATAATAATCATAATAAATTATAACCTAACAATAGTTTTATTAGTTTTATTTATTATATAATTATATAATATTTATCGCTAAGAGCTAGGCTAATGAATAATGAATAACCTTTTGTTTTTATTTTATTAGGCTTTCACATATTCGTAACCATGGATCCAAGAGTCTAAGTTGAAAGTCTTCTACCATTTTATTCTGAGCTACTCCTTTTGGCTCAAAAGATAGTGAGTTGTCCAATGATGAAATAGAGAAAGTAAACAGTACCCGGGACCTATCGGATGTTGGTGATGAAGATTTGTCTGACGCAGTTGAAGGTAACATATTATTATTGCATACTTTAAAGGTTTGCTTGTAGATTAGTAAAGCATTTATTGTTTTGTATACAATTATTGCATAATTTATAACCAAATAATGTTCTCAAAATGTATTTCTACAGAGTATGCCCATTTGCGAAAAATGATGAAACTCCTCAGGACCTTCTCAATTGTCTACACCAAGGTCTTCATTAGCAACAACAGAATGATCAGTCCCAGTAAACAGCAAATGTTCCACCATTTCCTGATCCTAGGAGAGAAGCCAAACATCAGAGGCGGCCATTGGATTATTTCAACGACATCTTTATAGATAATCTGTGTTCGGACAGTTGTGTATCAATCCAACTGTACTGTCCTCTAACATGACATCAACAGTCCTTTAGCACTGGATAAAGATTATTCCTGGAAATTAGATTTTACATAAACATTGTAAAAAATTCCTAAATGCCGAGTGTATTGGAGCCTTGCCACTAAGTGTGTTACGGTCACATACGTCATGACCATCAACAGATTCAAGCGGATAAAGAATAATCTGCACCTGTCGTACAATGTCCTCAACAGGACAAACAATCCATTAACACTGAATAAGAATGAGCTAAAACATTTCCTAGAAATTGTGTGTATTACATAAAGATTCTAAAAACTCTTAGATGCAGAGTGTATTGGAGCCTTGCCACCAAGTGTGTTACGGTCACATACGTCATGACCATCAACAGATTCAAGCGGAATAAGAATAATCTGAACCTGTCAAACAATGTCCTCAGCAGGACATAAACAATCCACTAGTACTGGATAAAGATGAACAAAAACATCTCCTGGAAATTGTGTTTTACATAAACATTGTAAAAAAAATTCTAGATACCAAGGATCTTGGTGCCTTGCCACCTAATGTGTTACTGTCACAGACATAACCATCAATAGATTTGAGTGGATTAAGATTAAGCTACACCTGTCAAACAATGTTCAAAGGGCAGAAGTTGACCAATATCGGAATTCTGTGCTTATCAAACCCCATGCCATCTGAGATTCTAAGTATTCATGAGCAAATCGACCCATTCACATATCGTAGGCAAAAGCAGTCCAACCTACAACCATAGAAAGCCATATAGATGGGCTACAAAGTTTTTGTTGTGTCCAACAACTTGTATAATCCAAGATTTTGAAGTGCATACAGGTAAAGCTACAAAGGGACAAGATGACAAAGTGCTGTTGCTAATATTGAGCAGACATTATTACAGAGTGTTCCCCAATATGTTGGGCTCAAGATTTACATAGACAATATCATTTAGTTCATCATTTAGTTGCAGGTTGTCCTGCAACAACAATGCACAGAAGTTTTTATTTGCTGTATAGCAAAAAAAAAAAAAAAATGCTAATAAACTTTTTACTAAATAAACCTGCATGTAATTTTTCAGTTGTTTTTTTCTCTTGCAGTGTACATGATTTTACTGTTCTTTTCATCATAAATAAACTTACATGTTACTATTGTTACTCTCAAATGATTTGTACAAGTTATTTACATTTATATCAACAATTCTATATAAATATTTTTTTTTCTTATTATGGAAAAAAAGTTTGACCCTTGCGCATAGTTGCAGAATTGCAACGACCAAAATTGTTGTGATATTTATCATCTATTCAAAAAAAAAATTCCCTACATCTCAAGTTAGTCCATTTGCTGTAGAAATATGAAGTCAAAAAATTTTTACCAAGTAAACCAATAATTCATGCAATAAAGGGTTAAATTGCAACGATATAGATGTAGTCCAGATCTATAATTTATATAATACCCGCGTCTCTCGGAATTCCTAATAGTTTTCCGCTTATATCATAATCGAAACTGAAACTGTTAGTGTTACGTTGTTCTTTTTTCTCTTTTTCAAGATCAACATACAAACATGTTATTATATGATGTGCTTATGTATGCTACATACGCTTTACGAAAAAAGTATACAACAAAATGAAGCCCATCTATTCTTTTATTTGATATTGCAATTTAAAAAAAAAATTATTTACTTGTATATATAAGAAAGAAGTTTACAGGTTGCATGCTATCGATTACATAGATCTATATTATATATGGGTAACCGTGAACTTTCGAAGTAATGGTTTTTCACTTTATTTAACTTAAAAAAAAACACTATGTCAATCGTGTTAAATAGGTCACTCAGAAGCGACGTAACACTTTATAAAAAAAAAAAAATTTTTTTGTTGGTTTGATGAAGAACGACTTTTTGGGCTTAGTGAGTGACGTGATCTCTTCCTTCTCTTTTGGGTTTTGATGAACTAATGTGCAATACATATGGCTGGTCCATAAATGCCGTCGTCAATACGCTCGCAACATTTATATATATGTGTGTGTGTGTATGTATATATTTATAATTGGTGTCACCCCTCCAATTTTGCCAAATGGCGTCAGTAAGAGCGCACTTTATTTTACTCCGCCTATAAATTTGCTGTTGGTGTCACCCTCGACCCTCCCCCGTCTGCTAATAGCTTTAAAGTGCTCACAGTTAATACTAACGATGTTTATCTATAGTCGATTGTTAATACATCTGGGTGTAGCATTGTTTTCTCAATAGTTTGCAAGCTTAAGTCAAGACCCCCCCCCCTCCGCCTTAATTGTCGCGATTGTCAATTAGTACTTAAATATTTTTAACCCTAAATAACCATTCATTAAAATGATAAAAAGTATATTTATTCTATATATTTTGCACATTTTTTATCTTGGTGTCACCCCCCTAAATGGTGTCACCGTGTGCGGTCTGCACCCCCGCCTCGCGACGCCTCTGATTAGAATATTGAGCTTGCCTTTGCGTATTTGAATTTTTTTTCGCACTTAAATTTTCTGATCATCGTAAAAATTGGTAAATTATATTTAGTTATAGACTAGTTGGATGGGGAAAAAACCTATGACACTATTTTTATTGTGTCCTATAGAAAAATTATTGCGCTGTTTTTATTATAAAGATCAATTTATAATTTTTCTGCCTCAGTGGGGATAAGGTGTGATGGTCACCCACTCAGGTGTAGTGTGTTTCACGGGCTACAACGACGCTTCTTGGATCAGCTTATTTATAGCATGCAGAGAATTGCAGTTTCCAGTACAATTGCAAATACATATAGCCCTTCATTAGGTCTATATACCTTGATCATTGTTCTATGTCCATGTCAGCCACTGCCCCAGTGTTTCTTCCAGATTTTTTTCTCCGGGGGGGGGGGGGGGGGCACTTGCAATTTTCGGGGGGGGGGGGGCGGTAGACTTTCTTCGGGGGGGGGGGGCGCGGACACTGTTAAAAGTATATATTTTCTATATAAATTATATAAATTTCCGAAGAGATATCTGGAAGAAACTCTGCACTGCCCTGAACACCCAAAGCCTGGAGTTTTGAATCCAGTCGACATAGTCGCAACTACCTAGAGGTCACATGACATGGGAAACACCGCTCACTGGAGAGCATAAAAATAACATCAACAGCTGCGGTCACACAGGGGACGTAACCAAAATATTTGAATTCCCCCATTATAATTTTTCAAAGTTCAAATAATATTTAAAAGAAGTTTCATTTGTTAAAAAATGTAATGATAACAAAGGACACCAAACAAATTGAATTCAAACTTTTAAATTTATTTTATTCTCATAGTTTACATAGGATTAAATCTGAAATGCTTAAAACAAAATTTAAAAACCACAACTGGCAAGTAAACAATCTATTTTAGGTAAGAACAGGTCATTCTAGTCACCGAAAAATTTCAGATACATTATATACATCATAAACTATTTATTTGCTTGCCTTCTAAATAAACAAAAAAATTAAACTAACAATCACATCAAACAATAAATATTCTCTACCAGATTAGTATGATGTGAGAGGTGTAATCAGCAATTCATAGATACACATGTTAAATAATTTATTCATAAACAGAATGATGAAATTATCATGACGATTCCCGTATGTATGTTAATGTTACAGAATACATATATTATTGAAATTAAAATAAAATCTAATGAAGCAGAAATAGAAAAGCTTAATATTGTCAATCAAACAGATATTATATTGTCAGGTGTGTAATTATATTACTATTAAAAAAATTAAAACTGATTAACTTAAATCATTATTTTCAATCAATCACATTTGCTTTTTTTCACTTAAACCTTTAATACGATGGTTAATTCATCTTATTAGTAAAATGCTACTCACTAGCAGTAATTAAAAAAAAAAACTTTTTAAAGTTATAAAAAAATGTTTTTGGCCGGTCCTAAAAAAGTGTAAAAAATCTGGCAAATCTGTAAAACAAATTTGTATTGTTCTCATTAAAGAACAATTTATACTCAAATCTTGCTATGAGAAATGAATTTTAATAAAACTTAAAACTCTAGTCCACACAATGCCATGATTAACTTCTGGATATATTTATTTTTATCCTGCTTTAAGTTTTATCTGACCAAGTTACACCTTTATTAACACATTTGATGCAATATGCTTGTCTACACTGTGAATTATAAGACTAGATACTATTTTCACTTCAGCTTTTACCCACATAATTTATCATAAAAATTGACCAAGGACAAAAAAAAGACTAATAGAATCCTTCAAAGACTTAACCAAAAGGTTGATTAACCGTTTAGATCCTACACGACACGGAAACTCAGTAAACAGAGAAATTACCCTTTGAAGATGGCCACAAAAAAGATTGTAAACCACAGCTAAGTGGGACAAAATCTACTTAGACAACTAACTTGCAACTATCCTTACCTCAGAAAGAAAAAAAAAGAATAAATTTTAAACAAGTTAAAACTGACTGATTTTACATTAATTAAACAAAAAAAAAAATCTCGCTATGACTAGAAATACAAAACCTGAGTCCATCAATGTTTATTAGTCTGTTGGGGTATAAGAATGGTAAGTCAGGCACTCAAGGGTTGTGAAATTATTCTGATCAATCATTCAACACCTACTTACAAGGAACTCTAGCAGAGGATGCATAGGTTCTTGATATTATATAGGCCTATTTATTTGAACAGAAAAATAATTTACTGATGTTGCTATGGTAGAAAGCATCAGAAATCAGTGAGGTTAATTTCAAATAAGACAAAGAATTTGCTGCATTAAACATGAAATGTACTGCTTTGTTTCATAAATTTTTATTCCTTTTAAAATTGACAAAATTTCACTTGGATTGTCACACATTTCCACACAAAACATTGATTTCTTTCATTTCCATCATCTTCCCTATCAATTCATCAAAACTAAATTATTATTTTTTACAATTCATCAAAAATATTTCTTTGAACAGAAATGTGTACGCATCAGACCCACTGAGATCTCACAATAGACGAAAGCACATCTACAATCTCATGTAAACATAATCTAACGTTGTGCATACAATCATATACAGAATCTAAACACCGAGTTGGAAAAACAGATTTTTTAAAATTCTTTCAATTATGCTGTAACTTTTTTTTACTTGCAATATTCAATTTTGTACAGTATGTGTCAAAACAATAACAGAAAGGTGCAGAGAATGAAACATTGAAATTACTGACAAGGACATTAACCCTTTTCTGTTTTACAGGTAGGAAATTAAGATATGAACAATTGCAATGAAGCAATTATTGTAAAAATTAACTGGTCCAAATATTAAAAAAATAAATTGCATAGTAGTTTTTAAATTTACATGGTACTTAAATATTTTCAAGAATTCTGCTATGTTTTCAATAAATAAAAACATACAGTGTTGATAAATTGGTAAAATAGTTAGGGTGAGACTTGGCATCAAATGCATAAAAATGAAGCATAATCTAGTTGTTAGTATATTGTACAGCCTTACATCTTAGTGCTGTAAGACAAAAGATCAATGTTTTAATAAATAAAAAAACTACTTTGTTATTAAACTTCTTAAAAGAGTGCATCGGTACCTATAGGTATTTGTATTTAAATTGATTTGCATTTGCTTATATATGCATCTATTTTGCCAATCTTTTCTCTAAATGTTCAAATCAATACTTAGAACACAATGGTATTTTAGGGAGTGAAGACAGCTTTTTGTAGGGGTAAAAAACAATGGCATGTATAATTTTAGACCAGAGTTAGTGCAGTCCTTGTCGCTTGACAAAGTTTCATTAAAAAAAAATAATTTTAAAATTGCCAACTTTAAAATGGTTGTCTTGATTATCGGTAACATCATCAAAAAAAGTATCATTGGTATGTACACAAACAATAAGGCAAATTGTATTTCCACAGCAGAAAAATTTCAAGCAGTTTGGTCATGTATTCATCAGTCAGTCGTCTCCCACAGACAAGCCATCCTAATACTGACATTACCTTTTATTAACATTCATTTTATCTTCTGCTTAAGTAAATGTGAAATTACAAAATTTCCTCAAATTTTATTATATCATTAGTGAATAGGTGATTTTAATTTTTGAGTACCTGTATTTATTATACATTTTTTTATATACAAATATACATATCAGTATAATTGTTTACATTTAATAATCAACTTGACGCATTGGTTAAATTACATTTCCTGCATAATTTTCTTTTATTCCATTATAAGCAAATTAAATTTCATCCTTTCTAAAAAGAAAATATTAAAAAAAAAATATATTAAAAGAGAAAATTGATTGACCCAATCAAGTTAAAATGTATGATTAAAGAATCCATTCATCACTGCCTACACTGCTATCATTCAACCCAGGCATACAGGGTTAACACAGCTTTTTGGTTTCAAATAATTAAAAACAGCAAAACTAATGACAATCACCGCACCACAAATAAATACGCCAGCTCTCTATGCTACAGTAGTTATCTATACAAAGATTGGAAGACAAACCTGCAGAACAAAGAAGATTTTGATGGAGAGAACCTCAGCTAAAATTTGATGAGCACATAGCTATTAGTGAAAGAAATATCTTCAGTGATGAAAATGGCGGAGTGGCATAATAAAACAATGAATCATTTAGTGACAAAAAATTCTACCTCTAACCAACATATATATTGTAAAATTCTAAACCTACAATTAAACATTAAAATGCAATGGAAGATCTTGAATGGTTTAGACTAGCCAATATCATAAGCTTTGTAAGCAATGAAAAAAAAATGTTGAGAAAAGAAAAAGAACTGTAAAAAAAGATTTAAAGAAAAAAAGGCAATGCAAGACCTGTGATAAAATACCCCCAGGGATATTTACACAAAAACAACTAAAATAAATTTCAATAGCTAGATGATGCATAGCATCTCTGTAATGACTATGTTACAACTAGTAACAATATTCAAGCTACTGTATCTTTCAAGATAAATGAAATCATTTTCTGAAAAGATGTTGATTCTGAGTTTAAAATTTTTTTTTCCTCCAAAAACAATAACTGATATTGTGTTCTTAAATAATTTTACAATGTCTGCATGAAGAAAGGTTGAGTGATTATGGCTTACAGGAATTTTTGTTTTCAAAACTGGACAGAAGAGCTTCATGTTTTGTTATCTCTCCATAGGAAGGAATGTGGGATAAAACAAACGGACATTTTGAAGACAATAACTAAAAGCAAGGGGACATGTCTGACCAATAAAGGATTTTTTTTCTCTTGTAATTTAAAAAAAAAGGTGGAAGAAAAAAAAAAATGTATCATCGTTGTTATTTAATTTTGAGCAGTGTAAAAAATTAAGGTGAAAAGACAATTTTTGTTTTACATGATGATGTAAGAAGTAAAACAAGTAGGTGTAGTTAGAACTAATCCATCTGAGGTTACATATGTTGCCCTTGGTTTTAAATTTCAGTAATCATTTAATTATCTTTCTGGGAGAAACCAACAAAGTCTTCACATGTATGAATCATTAAAACAGAAAACATATTCTTAGAAACTTTGATGATAAAAATTAGTCATGTTTGGGTAACCCCAGTGAACGAGAAAAGAAAACATGGTATATTGGAATAAACAACAGAATATATCTGTACACAAAAACATCAGTATAGTTAACAGCATCTCAGCATGTTTTTAAAGAATACATGATAAATCTTTTGGGAAAAAGAAACCTTTAAGAAACCACAATTCATTACTAAATACCCAAAGTAAACCACAACAATAAAAGAAGTCTCACAACAAGGAACACTCAAATCTAAATGAAGAAAATAAAATTCAGAAACCCCAAATGGTAATTGGGATAGAACAGGGACAGATGTTTTAAGAAAACGTAAGCTAAACTGTAAAATAAAGGGGTTTTAAATATGGATACAAAAATAAGCATAAGCTTTGTGTATAAGGGATGATATGAAACAAATTAAATAGCCTTTCTTATTCAAGATAGCTATAAGTGAGATGACTGGTACTTGGATATGGTACGACTGACTCTGGATTAGTGTATAGCTCAGACAACATGTGTACACAATCAGGCTGCATCACCTGCACAAGGAGGAGGATACATGTCCTTGCCTGACATAAACAAGCAGCAGTGACCTCAAAAACCAGACAAAATGGAATGACCAAGCAGTCTATGAGGTCACACTTGTTAATTAATTTTGACTGTTAACCCTTTACAGTCCTATGCACAGCAAATGCCTGTTCTGTCTAGGCCATTATTTTTCACTATTAAGTTTGATGCTGCTTTTTAAATTAAAATATGTATTGCATGGTAATTAAAAGTGATGCTCAATAATCTACATTCATTTTCCTCTGTGAACTGTATGTTTTAATTTTTAAATAATTTTTTCTGAGAAAACAATTTTAAAAGGGAGTTATTCCCCTTTGCTTAGCATATTGCAAAGAAAATCATTTACTACAAGGACTGTAAAGGGTTAAAATAATGCTATATACATTTTATGTATCACATCTGGTGCTCTAGCTCAAATTAGAATGAAGAAATAAAACTAAAAATAAACGAGTACACGAGTAATCAAAAGCTGGTAGTAAATACACATTCCAGTGGGTATAATTTAAATCTAATATTAATTATTGGCGTTTTGTAAACTGCTAATCCACTTGAGATCCAGAGATCTGATAAGATTAAAAACTAAATAAATACAAATTTTAGATGGTTATGTAACAGGCAGCAGCATATTTTTTTTTAAAAACTGATCAATGTAAAATGAACATTACATTTCCAAATATCACTCAATAGATAATTTTAGTCCGACACTTCCTGATTACTAGCAGATGGAGTGAGATTCTTTAGTAACCATGACATGCAGAGGATAAAGAAAATACAATTACCTAATCCCAATGAGATTCTAAAAGCAGCCAATGCAATATAATCATGGACAGCTTAAAATCAGCTCTAGAGTATAAATAAATCTCAGGAAATTTTATACTTTCAACATGCTGCAAAACTGCTAGAGAAAGATAATACCTTAAGCATCAACAACTTCACCATAACTGTTATTTAAAAAAAAAACTGTAATGATAATTTTGGTTTTGAAAACTGAAGCCAAGCTTTGTAAGATAAACGTTACCAAAAAAAAATTTAAAAAAAGAATCACATACCACAAAATTGCATTGCATTGTTAAACTACAAGTCAATTTGACTCAATTGAAGACAGTGTATTGGACACCATCAACTTTAAATGGTGTTGCGATCAAACACCTGATCAAAACAGTATAATACACTATCAATTCAACAATTATTTCTTTTAGCTCGAAGCTGCTAAATAAAGTATAATAATAAAAATGTATTTTTACTTTAGCCTAAAAAAATTCTTGAGATAATATTTTACTTACAAGATTTTAAACAATTTTTGACCTTTTTTAAATACATACATAAAAAAAGATTCAAAGAAGTAAATAAGGAAAATAGAACCCTGAGCTATCTGAATGACAAAGGAATCTTAAAAAAAAAAAAATATTTTACTCTTCCAGCTAATGCTGACTTTGGCAATGGCAAATAAAAGGAAAAAAAAAAACCTACCAATAAAAGAGCCAAACAGAAACAGCGTAGTTGCTCTGATTAAATAATCGATGAATAAACACACGAACATTTGCTTTGGTTAAAAACAACTGTTTGGTTCTAAAACTTAAAACAAATGCTAAAATTAAAATCCACTAAACTACACATAGTGGTCACTTCCAGGTTTTAAGAATTTCTTTTATGCTAGTGTAATTGTTTCACACTCCTACATGTAAAAAAAAACCAACGGTAAGTGAATTAAATCCGTGTTTCATTGCCTGAAGATGTAGAAAATCCTGGATTTGTAACTATTTTTGGATGTTCAGGAATTATATCATTTTTTGGAATATTTCCAGCAGGCCCCCACTTTGGAGTGGGATGAATCATACGTCTTAATTTCTGAAACAGAATAAATTTGTAGGATAGAGAAATTAAATCATATTGAAAGCACACAATATTTTTTACTATAAACAAGACAACCCCGGAAAGCTGGGCACTGAAATGACATGCTTGTACTAAGTTAAAAACTAAAAACTATAATCAATTTAATCAGCATGTCAAATCTAAAAGAGGTCTTTTATTATAACATAAGAAGAAAAAAAAACTGTACCTCTCGGAAAGAAGTTTCCTTGCGTGATCTGTAAAATCTCCATGCTCCCATAGCAACAATGATGATCATAGGAATGCAGGCCATGAACCATCCAATTAGTTCAGCCCACATAGGATAGATCTTGCCATCATATTCCATACGGTTGTAATCAACCCAGTTGAAAAGAAGAAGGAACTGGAATAAAAAAAATGAACATTCATTAGTATGTTGTAGTAAACCATGCTATTCAAGCCTTGAGTAAGAAACTTGTTTTTATTAATATAGTCATCTTATTTAACATTATGCAGGTCAATAAAAAATTTTTATAATTTAAAAAATAAATTAACTTTGAGAACATCTAATATATATTTATATTTTTACAAATTTTCTTCGTAATAGGGTAGTTTTAATTTCTATATTTAAGTATACCAAATTATGAAAAGTATTTAAATGAGTCTAAGTTTTAAAAACATTCTTCAGCACACCATACATGAATTCCAAGCTAACAATTAGCTAAGAGTATGATATAAGTGATTTTATATAGGCTTATAAACTTAAAAAAACCTTATCAAGCCTAGATCCATGAACAACTATAAGTGTTATGATGCATGTTCCAATTATAAATCGCACAAGTGAATGTTGGTGCAAAAGGTATGTTGAACGCCAGTGGCGTAGCCAAGAATTGGTCATGGGAGGGGTTAAAAAATGTTTCCATACGTATATAATCCTCTATGTGTGTATATATATATATATATGGGTCAGGGTCCATGGGAGGGGTTATAACCCCCCCTTGCCTACGCCACTGTTGACTGTTGAACGCATGGAATGATGAAGGGTATATTGCGACAGTGACGTTCTAGTGTAAAGACTGGTTGCTGGGTATTGTGTGTGAGTGTGTATGATTTTCTTCACCTTGGTGAAAGGGAGTACGTGAGTAGAGTATGAGAATAAAGATAAGAACAAGAAGTCTGCTTTCATCTTATTTATCAGTTGTCGCCTATGTTGTCTTGATGAACAATTGCATGAAATTATATTGTAGTGGAAATTAAAATGGTATTGAATCAAACAAACCCAAACCACACACTCAGCTTAACAATAAGTATAACTCCTCTACTTTAAAAAATACATGGTGTGGAAATTTCAACACCAATAAAAATGTGCCTAATTGGTAAGCTGTAATATTTTTAATCACTTGAATAGTGAGAAAGAAATTGGTCTGGTAGAAAAGGGTGCAAAATCTATTGCATGCTTTTGACCAGATATAGGAATTAAGAATTAATAATAGGTCTATTTCTAGTCGTTAATTAAGCATTAGAGCAAAGCGAACTTACTATAAGTGTTGCTGGAGTCAGAAATTTCCAGAAAAAGGTGAAAAATAAATGAAAAGGTCGGCTGCGACGACCAATCATTAATTCTATATTTTCCAGGAACCTGTCAGCGCCTATTAGAAATAAAAGTAAAATAAGTCACTGCTCCAGAACTGAATAATAAAGTAAAAAAATTCATAAAATGGTTAAAATAGTAAAAGTAAAGTTTCCCTTTCAAACCTGACGGCCTATGGGGCAAGTGAAGTAGAGTTCACTTGTGTCTGTGACCTCGGCATATGAAGAGATAGTGTGGTCAGCACTATGCCCAGCCGCCTTTACTTTCCCTAACGTGAGTTAGGTACCCATTAGAGTTGGGTGGACCCAGGGACGGTCTACTGACTTGAACCGGGATTCGAACTCGAGATTTACGGATTAGCAATCCAGCTCTCTACCGCTAGACCACTCCATCCCCCTTATCTAAATAGGACCTACCATAAATCCAAGCAAGAATAAAGCACTCGAGTATAGCCATGATGAAAACAGCCCAACTGGCAGAGTATGTGTCCATTAACTGCAGTACATACATTCCTCCCTAGAGATTAAAAGCAAAGTCTGAATTATCTATTGAAATTACAAATATTAAAGTAGAATTGATTTATGGTTCTGAGACCTGGAGGGCTACTAAAACAAATACAGACAGGCTGCATTCATTCACTAACAGATCCTCATGATAGATGGTCAGACAAAATATCCAATGAACACTTGCGGCTAAACACCAAAACAACAGCCAATAAATTAATCAATATTGGGCCACAAAATTTTTTTAAGTGTTTACCTCAGTACATACAACAAGACCTCCCAGAAAGCCAAGGATGCTGACACCGAGCACAACAAAGACCTTCTTCTGTCTCAGAGGGGGGTAGGTATCCTGGACAGCAGTCATAACTGTTTCCAACAAAGCAAACTGGAAGAACAAATTTAATGTGTTTACTTCAATAATACATTTTAAAATCTCCATCAACCATATTCCATGGTTATAAAACACATTTAAATGTATTGCTTTGAAAATACATTTTAAAATTTCTGTCTACTATACAATATATCTAAATGTAACACTAGATAATACATCTAAAAAAAACTCTTATCAATTGTCTGTCAAGGTAATACATCAAAGTATTACTTCAACAACACAATTTAAAATCTCTATCAGCAATATTCCATTGTTATACAATACATTTAAACATTTTACTTTGATAATACATTTTAAATATCTATTAATTATGTTCCTTGGTCATACATCTAAATGTATTACTTTAATAATTATAAATCTATCTCAACTATCTTTCATGGTAATACAATACATAAGACATTTATTTAGACCATTTTAGTGCCAAAACATATAATTTATTTGTAAGACTTACCTCACTCCCCATTCCCAGAGTAATCAACATGAAGAAAAACAAAAAGGACCAAAGTGGTGGAATTGGTAGACGGGTAACCACATCAGGAAACACAATAAAAGCAAGTCCAGGACCTTAAAAACAAAATAGTAACATTCATAATAAAACAGCTAATTAAATAAAGGTAAAAGGTAATAAAGACTTAAATACACTTTCATTATCAAACACCTAATTAAATAAATGTAAAAGAAAACAAAGATTTAAATACACTTTTATTATTACAATAATTCCAATAATGGAGACATTTGTGTTCTGAAAAATGCAAATATAAAAACATTTGTAACAGTCCTAAGGGCAGGTGAAATAGTTAACCTGTATCGAAGAGCTCTTTACAAGAAGGGATTGTGCTATTATAATGCATTGAAGTAAAGCCTTTACTTTTCTCAACTCATTTATGAATGTATTACAGAAGACAAGTTTTGCTACCTCTTTAATTTATATAAATGGAAGATTATAATTTATGACTATTCCAACTGATGGGAAGAAGTCTGAAGTAAACATACCTTGTGCAACCACTTTATCAACAGGCATATCCAACTCTTTAGCTAAATATCCCACAATGCTGAATATAACAAATCCAGCATATATACTTGTGCAGATATTGCCAACTCCAACAATGAGAGAGTCCCTAGATAAAAAAAAATAACTTCCAATAAAAAGTTGAAAAAAATTTAATTAGATAACATTAGTACATGCTAATAAGTCTGGCAAAATTTATTTTTAAAATATTTTTAAATACAAGGAAAAGAGAAAGAAGAACTGTGTGTGTGAAATACATTTATTTTGTTATTTCATGTTTCACATTACTTTTAAAAAAAGTCTTTGATTCTGCTTTTATTTACAACTTGTTTTTTTCTTGTTACAATTATATTAACTTTTAAATGACGAATGATGTCCTGCAATTAGAAAGCAAAAAAAAAACCTTACTTAAAGCAGTTGTTGTTAAACTTGTTGTAACTGGACAGTGTAATGAGGCCTCCCCAGGCTGGACTGAGAGCAAAGAATATCTGTACAGCTGCGGCTACCCAAGTCTGGAAATAAATTTTCAAAAAGTTTAATTTATTTTTTCTTAAAAGGTATATATTTCCTGGGACACATTTGTATCTTCTTAATTCATTAACACCAGTAAATCATTCTGTGTGTGGTTTGGTTAGATACAGTGATTACTGCTTAACAAAAAGTGGCCATAAGATTTACTTGCCCCAAGTTAATTTGTCAGGAGTCATTTAATTGGGGCTACTTTTGTTCGGTTATTTTGTCGGGGTTTAATTTGTCAAAATTCGGACTAGAAAAAATTGCGTTCTGAAAAAATTTGGAAATCCGCTGAAATTCTGAATCTTGACCTACATTTAATCTTAATCTAGCACCGTCCGACCTCACCTCGCGCAATAATCCAATAGAAAAGAAATGCGCGTATTTGATTGTCAGCTTGATCTCATAACTGTTATACTCTATTTAAATAGGAATATGTAGAATACGCGTGTGGGCTGTTTCCGTAGAAGTCATTGCCGTTTATTCCTAAAATTTTTAAAACTTCGGATTTGCGCAAAGACATTCCTGAAAATAATAAATTTATATTTTAAAACCCTTGTACTGTGATGAGAATACATGACCGTATCCAGGTTACCGGAGAATTTAAAAATTGACTATCGTCATCTGATAATTAAAAAAAAAATTACTCTTATAATAGCCCAAACCAATAATACCAACCTGTGCCTCAATTAGCTTGTCAAACTTTGGAGTCAGGTAATAAATAATCCCATCCTTAGCTCCATCCAAGGTGACGCCACGAAAAAACAGTATAGTCAGAACAACATAGGGGAACAATGCAGTAAAGTAAACAACCTGTGGGGAGAAATGATGTTCATTTCAGGTCTTCATAAACATCAAATTTACTACACTACAGAAATATCTAACACTGATAAAAACATGATTATATGTAACACATGAGTGGCCTACCTTCCCCACACTTTTCACTCCTCTGCTGAGAGCCAGAAATGTAAGAAACCATGTAAGTAGTAAACACAACACAATTTGCCACCGAAGAGAACCAATGTCTTCAATGCCTTCTGACATTCCAAGTATACCACGCCTGAAAACAGAAGCAATACAAATTAATTCTTCACATAGACAAACCCTTCTCTTTCTCAATCAGGCTTAACCCAACAACTGTAGTGTAAGGGACTTTGTGATGAGTAAATTCTTAAAGAGTTTTGGCCAGTCTAAGATAATGTAAAAAAAGCAAATAGCACATATTTTACATATTCTATAAAGGTAATGATTGCTCTATAATTGGTAGTTTTATTGCTGGTGATTACATCCACCTTTCAATGCTATAGAAATAATAAAAAATTTATAGGTGCATTTAATTTCCATCATTTTTAGACATTTCCATGAAATATTATAACTATTAAATTAGTATACTAGTCCTTAATTTAAAAAAAAAAAAATAGGCGGTCTCTATTTGATACATTTTTCAAAAACCATTAATCAGAAGAAAATAAGTACAACACTGTGTGGTTTGTTGCATAGCAATGAGCTAGTAAGGTGTAAGCAAGACATTTTTTTTTTGTTGACCACAGAACATGGGCCAAGTCAAGACAGAGTGCAACAGGGTTAGGGATTGAGAAACTCAAGCCTTGCAACTAGACCTGTGTGTTTCCACCAGGCTTTTACTTTCTCGTTCATTTTTAATAGGTTTAATATGGGAGACTCCATACAACGTACATGGTTTTACATAGGATCTGGTTCACAACCTACATTCTCAAAGTCTGAGTACCAAACACTAGACTGGTTAGCAAGCCTTACACAAAAGAATATAATAGTATTTGTTTATAGCTATAAAGTCAGTCTTTTATACTATAAACAAAAAATTAAACTTAAAAATAAATTTAATTTTGGCAAATACTCACTCAAAGTAGTCTTCAGCTGGGGGCGCACGGTTAGATTTATTGTGAGCCAGCTCACTGATGTTGTAAAAATGCACTTCTGTTTCGTTGTAACAACGATGTTTGTAATAAAGAGATCCATTTGTGACTGTACATTCCTGGGCATCAATATGAGAGTAGCATCCTGACAAGAAGAAAACAACAAGGACAACTTTAAAAAACTTTTATACACAACAGGACACACTTATTCTGACAAAAAAGAACAACTTACAAACTTTTATACACGACATATTCTGACAATGAAAATAAAATCTAGAGTGTAAATAGTATGATTGATAGCAAAATAAATGTGCACTTACTGTCTGTAGCCCATTCTTTATCACATCTCTGCCATGGTAGTTCAGAAGTGAATGATTTGAACATGTATAAAAATGCCCATCCAATAATCACAGTGTAGTAGAATGCAACCATACAAGAAACTGCTACCATTGCATGCCCAATACCTGAGAAAAACAATGCAATGCTTTCAACAAGAGTATAAACCAACAGTTTATACAGGCTTTTAAAAATAAAATTAGTATCCACCCTTTTGCCTAATATAGTAACAATAACAGACCTAATGAGCGTATTAAGTATTAATGTTTGAAATACATTTAAAAATAAAAATTTATGACAGTAATGATAGTATGTATATTAATTTTGGTAAACACAGAATTGCATTAACAAGTTTTTCGATCATACACTTTAATTTTAGCAGACTTGGATCTATGCAAAAATGGCAAAGCTAGTTTTACATTTGCATCTAGTACATTTTATAGAGAGTACACATGATAGATACAACTAGTAAACCCTGCAGTGACTTTCATGACGTTTAATTTAAAATTCCAACCACATTTCAGACTATTTATAGACTTAACTTCATCTGACCTTAATAAATACTATTCTCACCATTCAGTAATGGGCAGATTCTGTCAAATATTGCAGCAGGACCAAGGGCAGCATATTGACCAAAGCTCAACTCCAAGAACATGAGCGGAAATCCAAGTAGAACAAACATGAGAATAAAAGGAAAGAGAAAAGCTCCTGAAATAGAATATTAAACATTTTATTAAACATAATATTAAATCAGGACTTCTATATATCATACACAGAATTTTAAAAAGTAAAAAAAAAACAATATTTTCCATTACTTATCCACAGTACGTATACAAATCTAAGAATTACAGATATATAACAACAGATCCTCACCATTTTAATAAGCTAAGTAAGGAAATTTCAAATAAAATATTAAACATTTAATTAAACCAAAATTTCAATATTACATATGCAGAATTTTAAAAAAATATGTTTAATTCCTATGCGCAGGGCACGTACATATAAAAAAATTACAAATAAATAGCCACTTTACCTCCACCATTTTTATAAGCTAAGTAAGGAAATCTCCAAACGTTCCCCAGTCCAACAGAGTAGCCGAGGAGTGACATGAGGAAATCAAAACGACCTGACCAGTTCCCACGGTCATCGGGAGCGGGAGGCTGTAACTCATCTTCATCAAGAGGTGTGAGGACAGCTGTACTTGAAACATCTTGAACCAGTTGTTCTTGGGCACTCTACAAAAAAAAAGTGATTCACAACATTAATTAAATACAGAAAGAAGAATTTAAATATAAAACTTACACTAGAACCTGTGACTTTATAACAGCAACACCAACTAACTAACAACTGCAGTGCTTTTGATAATCAGTTACAAAAGGTAATTAATTAAACTAATTAACCATGTTGTCAGGTGTCTTGAATGTTAAAGAATCAATCTGGGATATGTCCCAAATTTAAATATGTTGTAAATAAGATAACAAGCTTTAGTCACTATATTATAAATAACTATGCATGTAACAAAAATAATAGTGCAAATGAAGAATATTCTAAAGGTTCTTAAATAGGTTAGTTAGTGTTTGTATAAAATGTAAAAATTGTCATAATATACAAGTTAAGGAATGTTAACGGCCAGATGAATATGCAATGTCTGCCTGCTTAGGTGAGACCATACTATTAGTAGTGGTCAATTTAGAGCGAGGGGTTCAGATAACCAGAAGATAAGCTTATAATGACAGGATTAGGAATTAAATATATGGGAGTTCGCAATTAGTTTTATGTTACTTAAACTGCAGCGACATCATGTGAAAGAATTATTACTTTCAGTGATAATACCACAAGATGTGTAGCCCTGGTTAAAAGACTATAAGTTGAAGCTACCAAAGGCAAAAATATATACATTAAAAAAATGAAAACATGTAAAGAAAAACAATTCTAAAAAGAAAAAAAGCTAAACAAAAAAAAACTAACACAAAATTTGATATAACACCATCACCAATGATGAACCGAAACCCCCAAAACGAAGAAAACTCAATACAAAAATTACATCTTCTTCTAGAGCCGACTCAGCAAAATCTTGGCGATACCAGGCCACCCCAACAGGATTTTCGCCTTTAGTTTTGCCCTCACCCTCTCCTCTTTCACCATCACTTCCTCCAAAATGCCGACCTTTCCCAAGAGTAATTATGGGATCATGATGCTGATGATCAACTAGAACACCCCTCTGGAATCAAATGGAACACAGTGATGGCCCAGGTTAATATCAAACAGTTGCCTTGTCAAATTCTCTTCAGTAATGTAGCAGTAGAACAACAAAAGAGGGAAAGGTTAAAAAAAATAGACACAGTAATTTAAATAAAACCTTTATTTCAATCACACGTCATTTAAAACAAATTCATGCATAACAATACAAATGTTATTCCTCTACATAAGGTAACAAAAAAAAAACATAGAAGGGTCTAAAATGAGTCAGAAATTTGTTAACTAAGTCAATCAGGAAAAAAACCTCATACATGCAGTATAGTTACAAATTTATATTAAGTTAAAAAATTAACTTTTAAAGTGAATAAACATTCAGATGATACCAGCTAGATACAAGCTCCTAAAATGTAAATGCTCTCACACATTTAACTTAAATGAATAAATGAATTTATTGAAAAGAACATACAATCAATATTTAGGACTGCCATCTGTTTCAAAAAGTATGTTATTATGTCTGTAATCTAATTATAGAAACTATTATTCCCTCCCCCATGTTTTGTGTAATTGTAGAGACATTTTTAGAACTCTAACTTCATCAACCAACTTCCTCTATTTAGGACAATGTATACAAGAAGATACAGAATGAAAAGAGATAAGAATTTATTAGGTACTTCACACCAAAATACTTCAAACACACACTAAAAAAAAGATGATAAAAAAAACCCCATTGGCTCAGAACAAAAACAGCATTTGACACAAGATTTAAGGTAAACTATGCCTTATTCAAGCAACATGAACCATCTGTTGAGTTGTAGGCTGGCTACATTATTAAAAAAAACAGCTAGCATCTGGTCTGCTCTAACACTACAGCTAGGTTTAGATAGATTAATTACACCACAATAACTCTACAACAGACTTAACTGAAGTCTTATGCCTACTGACCTTATTTAATTATTTATCATAATTTTTTTCTTTCTCATGATATGGATCCCACACCTATATTCTCTGAGGCATGGATGGCATGTTTACACACAATCCCTCCCCACCACAAATTTCCCAATGCCAATCCCAAATTGAAATGGTTATCGGGTACCTGTACCTCCAAAAGCTTTTAGTTATTTAGCATAACTTTTAAGAACGATAACTAACATTATTAAACAAGAACGTAAATACTGTACTAATATTCCTGGTATATTAGACTTTTTACATGTTAAGTGTAGTGTGAGTTTAAGTATAAATCAAATAAATCAGAATCTGGACTATTTGAAATATCCAGGCTTCAGTAGTTATGGATAAGTCAAAAAAAAAAAAAAACACTGGGGTACCAAGAGACAGAAGGCTGAATCATCCCCGCACTCCCTAAACCATTACGGCAATTACAGAGGGGAAATGTTTAGCTTCTCTTCCATTTTAACAAATTTGCATAAGCCCTGGTCCAACTGTTTCATTGAAAATTGACAACAAACATTCTAGACTCTACATGTTGCAAGCACCTCGTTATACGGGAGCATGGGCAGACTGCTTGCGTAGTAATTTTAACACCGAATTTTTTTTTTATGTAGGCGCAAGGAAACACGTTGTTTGGCTGTAGTTGGCGTGCACGCTAGTCACGCGTGTGCCTTGCAGTACACGCTAGTGGACATCTTAAAAATACGAGAGCTGACAACAAAGATAGCACACAAGACAGTAAACCAAACTGTGTATGTGCTGTAACGGAAGACGGGGCCTCAAGGTCAACACGTCGCGGCCACGGTGGTTTATCGCACACAAATCTCTCCCAATTCAAAATCGATGGTGCAGAGAGAGCCTGCCCCAAAGGAAAGCTTTAAGTATCCAGACGAGTCGTATCCGAACCTTAAAAAACTGTTCAATATTGCATGCTGCATTAAATGTGTGCACTGGTGTCTTATCAATAATCTCGAGATAAAACGTTTCTCTTGCTATAATTAGATTCTAGATTTAAAAAATTAACTTAATCAGGTGCACTATTGTAAACAGTCTGCTTGGCATTTGCAATGTGTACAAACTACGATTTCAGTCGTGTAAAAAAATATTGTTAAAGAATATAAAGATATATCAGCGGTTCATCTTGAAAAATTGATCCGTTGAGACAGGCTACATCGGTCGATTCAATCTTTAACCAAAATCTATAAAATGTATTTAAAAGCACAGGGTCATGACCTTTTTGTGGGTCACTTTTGTGTGTGTGGTGGTGTGTCGATGAGGCTGGCCGGCCCGCCCGCATTAAATGAAAATCCGCGTTTCTTAAATAGGGCGAGTCGGCCATGCAGTACATACAAGTGGCACGGGACCAAACCGTGTTACTTGATACCGCGCCTTTTACTGGAGATGACACAGTTCACATCCCAAGGCAGCTGTCTTCTGCGCTGTGCTAGCACACTTCCAGAACATAGTGTTATCATACACAGAGGCAACTGCGAACTCATCATAAAAAAAAGTAGACCTCATTGTCTTTCTGACCAAAATCAAGGGTTCTTTTTGTTGAAGTGTATATTTTAATTTGAATTTACTTCCATTTAAAATGGGGAAGTGAGCGTGCACGGGCAACTTTCCTGGAGTGATACCCGAAATAACCACCGGACCAAACTGACAAGTGAAGTAGTGTCCGTCTGTTTTAATGGACCAGCCATTACACGTGAAAGGGCTGTCAGACCAGTACACTAACCAGCCGCTCAATATAATTACACTACCGGCTGTACAGACACCACTTTACAACTCACCTTGCCATTGGGTAGGTCTTCACGAACACTCAGACCCAACTGCTCAACTACCGAAAGATTCTGTGCTTGGACAGCGCCGTTCGTATTGTGGGCCATTTTTAAATCCATCTCTAGCTAATTACTTATCGATCAAGCATCCACTTTATCAAAATTTGGATAGTTTGAATTCAACTATCCAAAAAGACCAATCAAACGATTTTTTACCAGTATTTACTCATAACTACGTCACAACCTAATTACTTCAAGTAGAATAGTTGCAAATGTAAAAACTGGGTTCTGAAAAGTATCGCTCGTGAAACTATTATGTGGCACCACACTTTACTTGCTGCCGTAGTCAAACGTGTCACTCAGTTCTTGGGAGCCGTAGATCGTTCTTACTGCATGCGATCAGCTTTGTTACATTACATGTCAATTACAACCTCGCTAACAAGCCAACATGAGGTGTTGATTAAGGAACTTGGTTAATTACGAAAAGAGAATGGAAAAACAACAACGACACGATGAAAACAATAATCCCAAGATCGAACTCTGTCCATGGCGAAATCCCCGATAATTCCTAGAGTAAACAACGTGGCACCATCAGACAAGAGATAAGACATTATTCCAATAATATTGGGTTACCAGAGTTTAACCCCCCCCCCCCTCCTCCATGATGGTCAATAGCAACACTAATAGTGAGAGGGTCAGGAGATAGCCTTTATGTTCATCTAGCTGTTGGCTGACAACAGGCCTTGAGTACCACGACAAAGAAGAAAAAATACAGTACATTTAATGGGTGCTACTTTTGCCACACAAGAATACATTTGCATTCCAATACTCCCTAACCACACACAGCAGTGAGGAGATCCAAACTAAGTAGATTGTTGTCTTTTTTTCCCCTCTAAGCTTTGGAAAAATGTATGCAGTGACCAAAATTCTTTTTTTTTTATATAAATAGTGACCAAGATAAAAAAAAAAAATACATTTGAAGTAGATTGTAGTCAACTTCATAAGCTCTTGTATAGAGTACCCAGTAGCTGAAATTCTTTTCTTTTTGGAATATCCAATTTTTTCCTGTATTCCCAACCGCCTCCCCACTCATCCACACACTCCAGCCACTGGTTCAAGATCTGCATATTTATGAAGCATTACAAGCTTACATCCCTGGTCTGCAATCACTTGTATTTTTTTAAGACATGAAAGATGGTGCACTTGGGTATGACTCTTAAGGATTCTGCACAAATCATATTACACAAAAGGAGAAGGGGTGGTTTATTATTTTGTTATGCCGTGGGGGGGGGGGGGGGGAGAGAGAGAGAAAAGGTGTGTTATGTTTACTTTATTCAATTAGTTGTGTAATTTATGCTGTTGAAAATGGCAGGAGAACAAAATTAACATGACAACTTACATATTTTTCTTTAAAAAAAATGTAAAACTTTTCAGGTATCCCTAATAAGGGTAAAACAGTCAAATTAGAAACAATGTTCCCCATAAGCTGCAAGGTAGTGTAGTCTGTCATTTTGTAAAATACTTATATCATCGTATAAGACTTTTAGAACATAGCGCAAACAAAGTACATGTTGCTTACATTTCCCACTTAATCTAGGGAATGTTGCTAAGAAATATCACTTTTTTTCCCCAAATAAAATTTAAATGCACAGCTTTAGTATTTATTATCACACTGTGTTGTGGTTTGGATCTGGTTAGTTCCCTATCATATTATAATATGAGGGATGGTCAATTTAGTTTATATGGAGGAGGTGGGGGTGTTGGTCATGTGATTATGTGCAATGTTTATTGACATATAATATGTGCACAATCTCTTATATATTAGGTGTCAAAAAAATAATGTGGAAATCTTCTACTTAGATTAGACACTATAAACAAGCATAACTCTATAGGCCTAATATAATAATAATAATAATATAATGCCAGTGTTTTGATACAAACACAAATCATTCATACATTTTTCACAAGCATGGTATTACATTCTTTCTAAGGTACTAGAAGTAAAATAGATTGTAGAATTCACTACAACAATTACTTCACAATTCAGAAGTGTAGGTTTTAAATATATTCACGTTTATGCATGTGTGTAAATCACGTTTACATAAAATACACTAAGCTACTAAACTAGAGCATACAATATCCTATTTTAAAAAGTTTAATATTCTAAACAACAAATTTTTATTGCTTTACTTTTGTTTAACACAAGACTTAAACAAGTAACCTTTTTAGCTTTTCAAATGGCTTATGGAACTGTTTTCATATTGAACCAATTATGCAGAGTAGTGGAGAGATAAAATTGCAGTACATCAGAAATTAAAGGTACATCACTAGGTCTAAATTCTTCTAATAGGATTTAATATATCAGTTAAGTGCCTGCAGGCCTACAAAAATAATTAGACACAGTTAAAGTCTTTGTTTTACTAGTTACTGGCCTATAGGCCTAATATTCCTATCCAGTCAACTATATATATATAATTATTAGCGTCCATCTCATGAAAATAGGTATGAAAATTCAACTACTCAGTTTCTGCTATTACCTACAACCAGGTGGCATAGAGGTGGGTAGAGCTTTATAGTGTTAAAATTTCTAGGCAAGCTACTTTGCTAGTAATGTATTCAACTTTAAATAAGTCCATATAACTGTCTAGAGTCTAGCTAGATCTACTTAATACACTGCATTTTTAAGAGGAACTTAAAAATAGGGGCCTATAGGTAGTGTGTTCTTTCATGTAGGCCTACATTAGTACATATTACTACAACTACAATAAATACTATTAGGCCGACTAAACTAAGAGTAAGACTGACTAGATCTAACTCTGGCCTTAAATAATTAAAATTAGGCTACGTTTTATGTTTTAACTTCAGTTTTAAGTAAAGAAGATCTAGAAATTCTAGATTCTAGTAAAAGTGCTATGACTATGTCAATATGATCATCTTTACTTCAACTTCAAGTTTAAAATTAATATAGGGCATTATATAGGGGGCCTAGATCTAGATTCTAGTACTACTAGAGTCTAATTCTCATACAAATATGCTCAAAACTAAATTGTTGAAAAAGGATGAGAGAAAGGGGGCTATTTTAGATTAGCAGCATGAATTGCTCACGATTTAACTGCATGACAATACTGACTCACAAGGACACTGAGAATAGATCTGTGATTACAATAGACAGTGGTAAAAAAAAAGCCTCAACGCAACTAAGTCTGCAAACAAAACCTGAAAACTATAGAATATTTTGTAAAATAAAGAAAGATAATTTGCTGTTGTCGTTTTCCAAATGTTTCCTTTTAAAAAATCAACAAATATTGAAACAAAACCACGTGTATATTACTGAGTTGTTTGTAATCAAAAGTTGTAAACACGACCCAGACGGGTTGGCGGATTGATTCTTATGATTTCATCATCACTTCAAGCTATAGCACGACGGAACTGTTATGGCCTCGCTTAGAGACATGAGGGGGATTTAGAGCAACACCATGTGCTGGGCGTTGTTTAAGTTATTTACACCTACATAAATGATGTATATCACTTTTTACAACTACTCACCAAAAGATCAACCCTAGCTTCGTTGTCATTTTCACCATTAACAGTTTTAGTCCCATTTTCTCTAGTTACTACGTGAGGATAAAGAGTAGACTTTCCCGAAGACGCAGCCATTTTCTCCTACTGACACCATACTATCCGGTGTAGGGTTTACAAGATCTAGAATCTAGTCCGCGTGTAAGGATAGCCCCGATAGGCCAAAGCGCGCTCAGGGGCGGAACTACCACACCGCCAGACCCCCGCAACGAAAAAAAAAAAAAAACCATTTTATTCCAATTTTTTTTCAAGCAACTTGATAACGGTTTTGTAAATAATAAAACAATCTACAACATGGGTAATCTTTCTACAGTCACTAACCAACGCTATTGCGTAGAATTAAAAAAACAAAAACATCACGAACTATACTGTGTAAGATGGGCAAACGTTCAAACTACTTCCATGATTTATTGCTCTTCTTCAAAGTGTTTAATGCGGGGGCATTATATTCCTGTGCTAAGAAAAAAAAAATTAATGCTGCATAGCACAATTAGTAGAACAGTAAAATCAGTATACCAACAGTGGACAAAAATATAGAAAAATGACCTACTGCTTTTCTTTCACGACGGCTTCGGAAATTTTTTGGTCAGCGTCCACATTTAATCTATTCGCTTCATTTGACAGAATTTTCGAAATGTTTTATCGGCCATGTTAAGTAGTCTACAGTAATGACAGTACGAAATACACATCGTGAAGTACAACTGATCATTTCTTTGCAACTTTTTTCGAGCCCCATTCATAGCGTATGATACACCGCGCTTTACTTAATGACAAGACAACTGAAAACGTTTGATACCTACTACTTTCAAAACTAAAGTAACATCCTATTTATCATTCGCGCGTACAAAGCTATGGGCTATCCCTTGTTTTGGAGATTACTGACGAAAACAACAACACAAAGTCTTTATATTTCCTTGTTCAGTTTTCGCATCATGCATGATTTTGCAGTGCGTAGTAGAGCTGTACATTCTGGATACTCTGTTATATCCTATTTTAACATGTAAAGCGGGTAATTTTGTACTTAAATAGGGCGTGCTTGTGTCCCCAACAAGGAGAAGGATTGGACACACTGTGTTTTAAACTTTATAATTTATATTTTCAGTAAGGGCTAAACGGGTTACCCCTCTCCCTTCCTCGGCGTAAATAATAATTGAGCAGGGTCAACGTTCAGTTAATTTTAATTACAATTTTAAAAAGGATTTTTAAAATTAAAAATAGGGTCAAAATTCAGCTTCAAAGGCTACTTTTTAAAATACATAAACACAACGTCATATTTACTGGGCGGGCCCAACCCCTTAACACGTACACATCGTCACAAAAGTCACCCCCCTCCCCCCAACTGTGACGTCTGTTATGGACGACACATAAAGAATAAAAATCTAGCTTAGTTAAGGGAAAAGAACAAAGAATAAAACACTGAAGCGTATTAAAGCATAAGAATCTTAACAACATAACATCTAAAAAATAAAATAATCATAAGCATTTTAGGAAAATACTTTAACTTACGAATTATTTTGTTTTTAGTCACATTTAGAAGTTTATTATTTATAAATTACCTGAATTAATCGGTATCAATTTATTTTTCATAAAAGATCACCGGAAAAATATTTGGGAGCAAAATTTAAGTTAACACCGACCAATGCACGTTGCTAATAAAACGCGCATTTGTAATAAGCAAAACATACCAATATGCATCATATTTGTTTTACACATCTGCACTTTTTATATAACTTATAAAGTTTTAAAACAAATGTATATTTAATATTATTTATAGCTAATATAAACATAATTTGGAGAACATTTTCCATTGATAATTTTCGACCAATAAGAAGAGTTTTTAAATAGCAATCCTAAGTCGGTCAGTAGGCCATGATCATTATGAACAGTTTTTTTATTGGCTGGCTCACTTCGTTCTCTCCCCTCCCCCCTCTCTTCTATCCTTGACTTCGGGAGATAAGTTAGCAAATCGTGGTATTGAAAAGGAGAAAAAAAAAAGGCTTAGAACATACAATATGTAAAATTGTTGGACGACCAATCTGAAAATTCTGTATAAGTTAAAAACAAAAAACAAATTACAATAAAATTAGGACATATTCTACCCGTTTAATGTTAGTAACCGCAACGCAACGACAGCACAGAATGCAGTCGAATTCATTTAATAGAAATTAATTGTTCTATAGCATTTCTTATAATTCATTGTAGCTATCACACGTAATTAATAAAACATTCAGTGTGTATTTTATTTTTAAGGGGCCGTCAATAAATGGCACGATTTTTTTTTTTGCACACTTTTAAAGATCCATCCCCTATTATCATAAAAGGCCAAACACTTACTAAATGAAAATCCACCCACAACACATCATTGAATCTTTAAAAAAATCGAATTATTCACGTTTTTTAAAGAATTTTCGTTTCTTTTAAGAAATACAGGCATGAAAAGTCTATGTACTATGTAATCATGCTATATTTTTGAAAAAAATCTTTTTAAAAATATGGCGAGCGATAAAATTATAGTTGCACTTTAAAAAAATTAAAGCTGTTGGAACCAGTGGCGTAGCGACCCTTCCCGGCGCCCGGGGACAAACTTTTCGATTTGGATCCCCCCCCCCAAGATTTTGATTTGCACCACCCCCTAAAACTTTCGATTTGCACCCCCCCCCCCCTTTAGATTTCCATTTGCACCCCCCTCAAACTTTCGATTTGCACCCCCCTCAACCTTTCAATTTATTTTTCCAACCCATTTTGGCGCCCCCTAAGGTCGGCGCCCGGGGACATATGTTCCCCCCCCCCCCGCCCCCCTCGCTACGCTACTGGTTGGAAATACCAATTACACTCATTTATGTATGAATATAAGCGATTAAAAAGCCGTTAAGAATTATTTTAGCAATTCAAATATTTTAAAAAAAAACTGCCCTCAACCTCTCCTTGAAGTCAACCGGAATGGCCAGGGAGAGTAAAACAATAAAAGTCAGAACAATTGTTTTCCATGATAAAAATTCATACTAGTGATCTCTGGTGTATAGCGTAGTATTGTATTTATATTGAATAATAAAACATCCCCAATCACCACAAAACCATGACTCTACTAATCCAAGTTGAAAATAAAAGTGTTAGCTAAATTACTATTATATTACTAGTAATTATTTCTTTGACTATTTCTAGCCTTAATAAAACCGGAAGTAATTTTGTACTTATTACACAAATGGTATAAATTAATTTTGATTGAAAAATATGCTTTCTGGCAACACAAATTGGAACCATTTGGAACCAGCTTTTCAAGTCTTATGTCTATAACGTCGCATTTTCTTAATCCCATCTCTTCACCCAAGCTTCGCATAATTCACAATACCCTTCTACTTGCGTGACGTCATTTACAGACTTTTAGGCCTACATACTTTTCTGCAAAATATTGGCTATATTTATTTTATTTACACGTTTAATCAACATGGATTAATAGTCAATCGTAATATTTTAAATAAAACACAATTTGGTTGATTTCTACAAGTTTGAGTATTTAAAAAAACCATAATAAAATATAAGGTTACAATCGAGCCAAACCATTACCACAGACGTCTACAGTGGCTAGGCCTATATTAACGATGTCTGCGTTTGGGTGTTGGAGGGGGGGGGGGGGATGGATGCAGTTTTTTTTGGGGAGGATGAATGGCCTCCATCTAGTTTTGCCCTGTCAACCACAACGAGACACCAGCTTTCTCTCATCAACCACACCTACAACTTATCACAACTTTCTATCTCACAATCTGCCCATCACTCGATTTTGACCCCCGGCAATTTTGGCGCATTTCATCAGCATTTACATAAAATCTACATTTGTAAAAATGTATATATATATATATATATATATATATATATATATATATATATATATATATATATATATATATATATATCTAGATCTAGTATTTACCAAAATGATACCTTTACCGGAGCCAAGACCTAAACGCTAACCATTCAATAAGCAATTGCCTAAGCCTATTTAGTAATGTCGTTATTTCTTTAGGACCAATATTTGGGCTCGATACTTTATTTTTTTTATTTTAAAGGAAGGGGGGTGAATAACAAACATCACACAAAGTTGGCCAGTGCACTTGTGAAGGGTGACCTTCGTCCTTGTGTAAATTTCAACCAATGACACGCCGCTAAACGAACACACCTCCAGCTGACAACAATAGACACCTTCTAAAGGAAAATTTTTGTTACCTAACAAACCGCATGGAAAATTACAACACGAAACTTACCTCACCACCCCCTTCCCCCTTTTTTTTGTTTTTGTTTATTTTAACCAACAGACTCACGTCTATAAATACTTGCATGAAATTCTTAGAAAACTATAGATCTAGATCTAATTCAAGAAAACAAAATATTTATTTAGTATATGATTTTTGAGAAAAAAAATGTCATTTTAATCCGGACAAAAACTTGATATATATATATATATATATATATATATATATATATATATATATATATATATATATATATATATATATATATATATATATATATATATATATATATATATATATATATATATATATATATATATATATATATATATATATATATATATATATATATATATATATATATATGTTTTAAAGGGACATAGTTTTAAAATATAAACAAAAAAATTCACCTGAGAAAGAGGTGTGAAACTATAGTGGATGATAATTTCAATGTGCTTGATGGTGAGATTGTGTGAGTGTGTGTGTGTGTGTGTGTGCGCGCATGTTCGCGTGTGGGCGGGGGGCGGGCGGATGTTGCTCGCTTCATCTGTAATTCAGATGTAAACATTTGTTTAAGAAACCGTGATTTTGATTATATAGGGCCCCCCAAAACATCTTGCTTCGCTGCCAAAATTTTAATTCGGTCACCTGGGAAGAAAGGGGCGGGGGGGGGGGGGGGGGGAAGATACCTCAGGAGGAAGGTGGAGGGGCGATAAAAAAAGGTATCCGCGCCATCTGACGTCACACAAGGTAACGTGAAATGACCTTGCATGAACTGGATACCACCCCAATGACAAAACTGAATAACAGACAGCTCTGGAGCTGTTGGTGCATACAATGCGGCAGTTACCGTAAACACGGCGTC